ACAATAATCAAGACAATATGGTACTGGAACAAAAACAGAAACATAGATCAATGGAATAAGATAGAAAGCCCAGAGATAAACCTATGCACCTATGGTCAACTAATCTATGACAAAGGAGGCAAGGATATACAATGAAGAAAAGACACCCTCTTCAATAAGTGGTGCTGGGAAAACTGGACAGCTACAGTAAAAGAATAAAATTAGAACACTCCCTAACACCGTACACAAAAATAAACTCAAAATGGATTTGAGACCTAAATGGAAGACCAGAAACTATAAAACTCTTAGAGGAAAACATAAGAAGAACACTCTTTGACATAAATCACAGCAAGATCTTTTTTGATCCACCTCCTACAGTAATGGAAATAAAAACAAAAATAAACAAATGGGACCTAATGGAACTTAAAAGCTTTTGCACAGCAAAGGAAACCATAAACAAGACCAAACTACAACCCTCAGAATGGGAGAAAATATTTGCAAATGAATCAATGGACAAAGGATTGATCTCCAATATATATAAACAGCTCATGCGCTCAATATTAAAAAAACAAACAATCCAATCCAAAAATGGGCAGAAAACCTAAATAGACATTTCTCCAAAGAAAGACATACAGATGGCCAAGAAGTACATGAAAAGCTGCTCAACATCACTAATTATTAGAGAAATGCAAATCAAAACTACAATGAGGTATCACCTCACACCAGTTAGAATGGGCATCATAGAGAATGTACAAGCAATAAATGCTGGAGAGGGTGTGGAGAAAAGGGAACCTTCTTGCACAGTTGATGGGAATGTGAATTGATACAGCCACTATTGAGAACAGTATGGAGGTCCCTTAAAAAACTAAAAGTAGAATTACCATATGATCTAGCAATCCCACTACTGGGCCTATACCCAGAGAAAACTGTAGTTCAAAAGGACACATGCACCCCAATGTTCCTTGCAGCACTATTTACAATAGCCAGGTCATGGAAGCAACCTAAATGCCCAACAAAAGATGAATGGATAAAGAAGATGTGGTACATATATACAATGGAATATTACTCAGCCATAAAAAGGGACGAAATTGGGTCGTTTGTTGAGACGTGGATGGATCTAGAGACTGTCATACAGAGTGAAGGAAGTCAGAAAGAGAAAAACAAATATTATATATTAACGCATATATGTGGAACCTAGAAAAATGGTACAGATGAACTGGTTTGCAGGGCAGAAATTGAGACACAGATGTAGAGAACAAATGTATGGACACCAAGGGGGGAAGCGGTGGGGGGTGGGGGTGGGGATGGGATGAATTGGGCAATTGGGATTGACATGTATATACTGATGTGTATAAAATTGATGACTAATAAGAACCTGCTGTATAAAAATATAAATTAAAAATAAAAATAAATTAAAAAAATAAAAATTACATTGCTTCAAAGCACCACACTGCTCATAAGCACTCATCTGAATCTTTTATTTATGTAAGTATGTTGAAGATTATCCCAAGAGGATAAAATATTCAGGTTTTTTTGTGTTTTTTTTCACCTTCATCAATATTTACCTTGGAAATAACTTGGGGCCATCCACTTAATTTTTTTTTTTCATGTTTCATAAATCCTGTTCTATAAATGTTTCTTTCCTTTTCTTTCTCCTATGTAAATAACCCTTCCATTGTCAAGTTATTTCCCAACAGATCTATATTCAGAATTTCATAGTATGTAGGTTTTAAATAATATCCTGATTTTTAACTCTTTGATTATAAGGCCTAAAACCAATCATGGACTAGCAACATTTTCTTCCTCAAAAAAACATTGATCAATGTTCCAATCTAAAGTTCTAATTACCTATTTCAATCTTTGGAAAAGATGATATTTGATTCCAGAATATGAGAGAAAATGATTAAAGCTATATCAGGGCCTATGTGTATGAATTATACCAAATTCTTCTAATATTTTGTCACCACAGATGTGTTTGGACACATTCAAAAGAATTTAGGAGATTGAAGTGATAGCCAGGTATAAAAGAGTAAGATTCCGGAATAGAAAAAACTGTTGGAGAAGCTTCTTTCTAAAGCATTCTTTGATGTTTTCCCAAAGTAAACTGCAAAACTTTAATAGGAAATAAATATATACATACTTAAATTGTCATTAGGTTATTTTAACTTGGTTAATTGTAAATGGATATTTTTGATGCACATGAGTATTTAAGAATACTGCCACATGGTTGCCTTTGTTTAGAATTTTAAAAGTGACAGAAATAGAAGTGTGTTTTGCTACAAGCATAGACCAGATATTTAAATAGTCACATGGGCTTTCTGCTGTACTGAGGAAGTCCACTTTGTGTGATGGACTCTAATTTGTGCAGCTACGTTATTGAGGCACCCAAAGCCAAGTACATGATTCAGAGCAAATACAGACACTGCTAATCATACACATTTAGAATTTGTTTTAGTGTCCTTTAAATGATACAATTATAACACTATACCTTTCATCCCCAAAACCTGCAGTGAGGAACTTTTGTCAAAAGGATTTCTAAATTGACTGTAAAAGTCAAGTTTGGCTTACCCAATCTTTCATCAATATATGTATAGTTTTAAAAATAATTTCTAATATGTATTCATTAGGGCAACTATAATCTCTTACGGGACTGAATTGTATGCTTGACTTTCTTACCTAAATTTTTAGTTCAAGTTCACCTTTCATTCTGGTAGAATTTATCTAACTGCTCAGCTACCCCTCACAGTTGAAAGGAATTGTGTGCTGGAGCTAACTCCTTAAGAATTATAAGTTCAAATGAAAGAAGGCTTCCAATCAGCAAAGACAGAGCTTGGAGAACACAAACCAAGTAGAGAAGGCAGGATTCTTTCCCTTATGGATTTATACCAGTTTTCTTTGCATTAGCACTAGATATTCCTTGGTGAGTTGTTTGGTTGGTTGGTTTCTAAGCTGATCTACAGCTTAGAAATGTATTAAGTACATTCAATACTGAATAGCTTGACAAATGACAGCCAGCATGGGTTTTCCCTTTTCTTGAGTCTTCTCCATAGTAAAAGCAAATGTGAACTGTGTTCCTAACAAAGGGAGGTAGGAAATGAGGGAGAAAAAAGCCCCTAAAGAATGGTGATCAAAAAATAGAGGCAAGATCCTTGTGTGGTCTCATTCATTTGTTATCTCTTCCTCCCAGTTCTCTGACCTATTTTGCTAGTAATGATTGGTTTTTCACACCTGGAGATCACAAAACCCTGGTGTGAGGTCCAGCCTGCGGAGTTACGTGTGAGTATCCAAGCTGCTCATTCATCAGGAGCTGAAGTTTTCCCTAGCTTAGTCAACTCTTGTCTCACCAATGAGGTGGCAGTTTTCAAGGTCCAGTAATAAGAGATGTATATTTTCACTATGCTTCACATAGATAAAGACAGAAGTCAGACACATACTATATTAAAATATCAGAAGAGTGCTGAGGTGCCAGTAACCAGAAAGTTCCTTTTTAACTTGGAAGCTAGTGTATGTTTCATACCAAAAAATTCCTCCAGTTCCTTGAAGTAGCTTTAGTGAATTACCAGTGTATTAGCCTTGCTACCTCTTGGTAAGCATGCATCTGTCACAACAAATCCATACACTTCTTTACAGCCCTACAATCTGCATTTGGAAGAAGAGAGTCAGCTCTTCCAGAAGGACGGAAGAAACCATGAGGAGGTTTTAGTAATAACAGTAACCTGATATTTTGAAACTCTAAGGTCCTGATTTTCAGCCTTCCACCTAACAGTAAAATTAAAGCTAGCCCCCAGTAATAAACTGATATTTCTTTAATCATATTATATAGATTGTGAGTGATTCAAAATCAGAAACCAGGTCTTGTTAATAGTGTGTCCACACACTAACATCACTGTTTAACACATAGTAGGTCTTTAATAATTATTGTTGAATTGAACTGAGTTTGCTGACACTCAGCACCAAAAATGATTTTTCAACTTGGATAATTTAGTACCTTTGCATTCTGTGGTTGCACTTCATTTAGCCAGCAGAATTTTATTTAGGAGACAGAGAATAAATTATACTGAAACTTTCTTTCAAGTGGAATTGAATTTACTTCACAAAATCATCATTTTTTAATCTGAGCATTCTACGAAGGGTGACCTTAATGAGAAGGAAAAAACACCACAGCATCCTTGAACATAGATCAAAAACTCAAGTCATCCAATGAAACAGGACCCTGTAGAGATTGGTGCTGTGATTGGAGATTACTATATATTATCTTTCTTAGAAAGTAGGAAATCTAATTACCTTCAAGTTTCTCACATTTGAGCCATACTACAAATGAGTTGTGTCCAGGTACAGAAAAACCAACAATATTTTATTTATAATCTTATTTTTAGCTTTTGAACTACAAATTCGGGTTCTAGATTTGTTTAAAAGATCATGGGTTTTATAGATGCTAATATGTAAATTAATCTGCTGTTTGCTTAATTTTTGTTTTCCATTGAATGGTCCTCCTCATAAATACAGAACAGGTCATTACACGAAAAATATAAGATCTTGCATTTTTTCCTTGTTCTCTCTTAAAAATCTATTTCTAATATTGCATTCCCCATTGGACTACTTCATAAGGGCATGAGAGGGGGAAAAGAAAAGACAGAGGAAAAAAAAAGAAAGACAAAATAGACTGGATCTCACCACTAGAATTCACCATAAAAATCTCAAAGTGTAACAGAATTCTTACAAAATTTCCTAGACCAGTTCTTTAGGGAATTGAGATCTCCTATGAAAAATATGGCGATTGGGAAAGGCAGGGATGAGATGTGGGAAAATAGTAAATAAGTGCAGCAAAAACAGGTTCTGAGGAATACACATAATTTTGTCTGCTTTAGATCACAATAGAATTTTTAATAAATAAATTTCTTTTCTTTTTTGTTTTTTTTTTGTAAAGACACTTTTTTGAAACAGTAGATTTAGCCCAGTCATTTGTGTCATTTTTAATAAACTGTCTTTTTTTGTTGTTGTTTTTCATAACTGTAAATGTTTTAGATTTGAGTCTCTTGGACATTGTCTTTAGAGTTCATTCGGATCAATAACGGTTCATGCACTGAACTGTGTATTGAATTTATTGTGTTAACTGTTGTTGTGTGGTTGAAGGGAGATTTGTAAGAGTTGTAGTGGTTTAGGTGCTCATGCTCAATAGCAGGCATGGGCAGGTGGCTTTCCATGGGTGTGTCTCCTGTAATCTCATCATCCACATTAATGATTTCAACAGTCCTCGTTGGGGCATGATGGTTTTGCCGATGGTGCTGCTTCCTCATCTTGTAGAAAATGACCAGCATCACTGCAGCCATGAGCGTGATGGCCACAAAACAGCCAATGATGATTTTGGTAGTCTTCATGACTTCATCGATTCCTGGGATCCCACTGTTTATATCAGTCACGGGGATGGTGAATGTTTTTTCTGTTGACCTTGTGCTCTGTGGCGTGAGAGAGGTGGTCACGTTGGTGGTCTCCCAGTCGATCACCGGAGTGGGACCCACATTGTTATCTGTGGTCCTTGCCTCATCCTGAGAAGGTTCCATAGTCTCTACTGTGACGGTTGAAAAGTACGAGAAGGGAGTAGTGTTTGCGGCAGTAACATTCAGGGTGGCCGAAGCAGTGGTATTTCCAACAGAATTACTCACCATACATGTGTACATGCCTGTATCTTGCACAGTTACATTCGTGAAGTTTAACGTCCCATCGCTGAGCACGGCTATCCGCACTTTGTATGCCCCATGTGTCATGACTGTTCCGTTTGGAGTAATCCAAGATACAGAAGTCAGGGACGTGGAGGCCCGACATTTCAGCTCAGCTGCCATGCCTTCAGTGACATTGAGGTCTGCTGGGGGCTCCACAATGACAGGAGCATAGCATGTGAAATAATTCTGGTCAAGTTCCCCAATGTACCTCCCTTTCAGATTGGGAGGCGTGTTACACCGGGCACAGCAAGCTGTGTTGGAGGGGGCCATGTCTTTTATCCACCAGCTGAGCCACAGTATGTCACAGTTACAGTTCCAGGGGTTGTGATGTAAGTGTATCCGTTCTAGATGATGCAAGGGTGTGAAGAGGTCATGAGGCAGTAATGTTAGATTGTTGTGTGCCAGGTTGATCTCCACCAGTGACTGAAGGTTATCAAAGGCATTCCGTTCAATCACTTGAATCTGGGACTGTATCATCCACAGTTTTTGAAGGTGCATCAACCCCTGGAAAGAGCCAGGCCTGATGGCAGACAGATGATTCCCAGAAAGATCCAGCTCATCTAGTTTTATGAGCGGCGTGAGGTTAGGGATTTCTCGGAGGTTGCACATGGCAAGGTTCAAATACCTCAAGTTGGACAGACCTTCAAAGGCACCTTCTGAGATATATGAAAGCCTTTTTAATTCCCCTAAGTCTAGTCGGCGCAAAGAAGGGATTCTGTTAAAAGCATAAGAAGGGATGCTTTCGATGGGGTTGTTTCGCAACCAGAGCTCCTTCAGTTTAGACAAATATACAAAAGCTCCATTTGGGATGGTCGTAAGACGATTGTCAAAGAGTTCCAGGGTGTTGAGGTTTGCCAGACCATTGAAGGCCCCAATTTCAATTGTTCTGATATGATTCCTACTCAACTGTAGGATTTCCAGGTGCCTCAAGTGTTTGAAGCTATTCACTTTGATGATTTGGATTTGGTTCTCATGGAGGTTCAGCAGCCGGGTGTTG